CAAAGATACTGGGAAGCAAGAAGACTGCTAATTAACTGCTATTAATTATCTGCTATAAGTGTACCCCCCCCCCTCTTGGGGGAAGCTAAAGTCAATGATTAAGGGCTAATGATAAATATCATAAAGCTTGCCATTTGAAATAAATAAATAAATATCCAAAGAACTCGTTCCAGTTACGATAATTTCACCGCACACAAGAAAATGCGTAGGGAAATGATTTAGATTATTCATTCAAGTTTGATTAACAGTATTCGCTTCATATAGCACGCTAGCTCCCCCCCCCCCAGCTCCGATGATACCTTCTACACGCACATCATTAGGTCGATGTGCCGGTTGCAAGAGACGAACTAAGAAGGGTTGGATTTCTTAAAAGTAGTGTATTATGGACCGTCCCGAATCTACCCCACTTCATAAGAGTCTTAGTTGGTCTTTCGACTGGGGATGATATGGAGGAGAAGGATTATGCGATGTTATGATTCCTTCAAAAGCTTCGAAAGGGGACAAGAATTCGGAACTTTTATCACTTGTAGTTGCCTACAGTACTTTATGATTTTAAAGTACCTTTCTAGGGTTATCGATCAATACGGTAGTTATGGTAGAGTTTGACGAATTGCCTTCTGGCCACTTTGTGTTCAAATCTATCAATGACAAGATATGAGAGCCCATTGGCAAATCCAGCACGATCTAGTAGCATGCTTAATCTTAGAGGAGTAGTTTTTAGGCCAAGGTCTAGGCTCCTGACTCGTGGTAGCATTTAGAACATCGTTGCTCAATTGCTTCAGTGTCCTTGCTCATTCCAGGCTGTTATAGAAACGTTCTTGCAGCAGGTATAAGTCCGTTAACTCTCGGATGACTCTCATGAAATTGTTATAATATAGTAGCCTTGAGTTTTGGAAAAATTAACTCTCTGTCTTCACTCATTAATCAGGAACTATTCGCGAACAGGTTACTACCCTGTCTATAAAGTTGTAGGAGAAGTCCTTTGTGGTTTGATTTTGGCCATTATGTAGTAGCCTATTTCACAATCTCCTTCATCTTCGAGACTTCGGATTTTGGATCTCGTATAACAGTTGCAATTAGGCATTTCATTTTGCCTTCCATAAGCGGAATTCTAGTGACGGTTTCCTCGTCAGGACATTACTGGTTGTTGATGAGACAAAGAAGACCCCATTCAATTTCGCTATATTTGCTCTCAGCTGAAGTAATAGTTGGAGAGGGATGAACAACGACCTTCTCAGAACAGTCAGGGAGAATATGAGGGATAAACGCGACAACGCTTTGTTCAGAGCATCTATAGCAGCTATAATTGGTATATTCGGATTGTAATGACAAAGCAGTATATCAGATGAGAACATATCCCTTATCTTTATGGGGCTTTCGCACATTAGAGAATTCCGTTTCATTGATTATCTTGTCTCAAAGACTCGTTTAAAGAATTCCAAATATCGACCTTGGTGTTTTGCAGAAATGAATTGAAGTCGCCCATGATGGCAGTGAATGAACCTAATGTGGCATTGTTCATAGTGGATCCGACCGATGATCCCTTCCACTAAAAGTACATCCTAGGTACTTAAAAAGGGAGCAAAAAATGCATAGTTCTCACCTCAAAGGCGGAATCCATATGCCTGAAATCGCTGAAGAAGTGTAATGGTGCATTCATGAATGTTTTACTGAAGGCGGCCTGCAACGATTATGTCTTCCAGGTACCGATAAAGCCCAATATCACGATATCTTCTATTTGCTCAGAAATCTATTTATTTTTATGTTAAAAAACCTTTTTTTTCGATAAATAATAAATTTTATCCTCTATATTTTTAAAATTGATATTAACCATCTTTGATGCCTTTTAGTTCCTTGTCTTTAGAACAAGTCTTGGTGTTAAATTTCCACTAAATGATTTCCAAAATATAATTACTTAATTTTTGAATTTTCACTTGGATTATTGTTCTCATAACTAGACTTGAGTAATGTGAAACTCATATTCTATGGTCAATCCTCCTGTTAACCACAAGTGCCAAGTGACAATATGCGTCAAGAATAAGTCAGTAATAAAGGTACGCGGATGGGTACTGACATTTTGATCATTGATTTGGTAGATGAGAATTTAGACCAATGTTTCAGATTCACATGATTCACTCGTGAGTTATCAGCAAAATCTTCCGATAGAGATTCAAAGGCAGTCCTTATTTTTCCAGAATGCTATCAACTGGCCAATGCTAATCTTGTAACTATCCCTATATGACAGGAGGAGTTTCAAAGTTCGATTTAATAAGTATATATATATATATATATATATATATATATATAAGTGGAGGCGGAAAGGGGAGGGGAGGGGCGGGATTGAGAGCCAGTTCGTAAAGGTTGCCCTAATAAAAATACTTTCCAATGCGATCTGTAATGACCAGTGTGGAAGCGTACCTGTGAGTCAAAGCGCTTTATTTTGCCACGTTGATTTTGCCCCAATCGTATTTATTTTGTTCGTAAACTTTTGATCTGTATGCAATCTGTGATGCTAAATGTGTTTATTTGGCCATAATCTGCCATAATCTATTTGCAGTTTTGCCTTGAACCTTAATTCAATTTTTTGTTTGATCTTTTGCCTTGTTGATTATATTCTACAGCAAATCCTTTGTATATGAAATCTCTATCCAATATTGTTATTCATCCTATTTCAAACTAAAACTAAACTAGAACCAATGGTGCAAAGAACAAGGAGGTATCAGCATGTAGTCAAGATTTTGAAAAGATATAAATTTTGTCTCTAAAATTGTGATCTTTATATTTTTCATTCTTTCAGCATCATCCTAACATTGAAAAGTCCCTATTACCCCGATCAAGTTATATTTTAATCCGAACCTTTCACGGAAAATTATTAAGGTCAAATTAACGAATACAATTTAAGCGTAGATCTTATTAGAAGTTGTACAAAAATTACCTTCTTGTTGGCTCTGTTGATATGAAAGGTATTTAAACGTACGGTTAAAACTTTACGGGGGAAATAGTAATTGTTAAGTGATAAAATGACTATTCTTCATGGTATTACTCGTAACCTGCCTTCATTTTACAATAACTGTCAATTAATACGACTCCTATTATGTGGGTTTTATCGGAGGTTAGCAGTGTGAAAAAAATTGCATCATCATTTACCATTCTGACAACCTATTGGGTACTTGGTAAAGCGCCACTCAGCCTATCAGGTTAGTGATGGAGTTATTCGATTGGTTGTGGCGAATCGAACAATCAGATCAACTCTAAACACTTACCAGGAGATACCGAAAAGTCACGCACAATTTTTCTTTGAATGAAACGTAAATAATTTGTGCCTTTGTTCTAGTTAGTATAAATGGCAGTTATGCTGCAATTAGATGTCCTAATCAAAGCCATCTTTCCAGTTTCAGAATGATTATTATGCCGGTTCTAGTCATAAGCGAATTACTACTCATGCTTAACCTGCATTCGATTTCGGCCATTAAACCCGGAGTAAGTTATATCTTTATATATAATTATCTTTTATGTAATAACTGATTCAATTTTTAATCATTAACTAAATAAGTAGCTCAGTCATCTATTAGTACATTACATACAGTGATTTTTAATTAATTGGTATCTGAAAATTCAAGGCCTGAGATCTTCTTATGTGACAAAGCGAAGACATTTTCCCCCTTTCTATTGGCCATTTTTTGCAAGCCAATAGAGGTAAGATATAGCCCAAGCCTGTGTGTCCTGAAAAATCGATATTCTTCTATTAGGTCTTAACAATACTTAGCCTAAGTTGATACTTAAATATCGGAGAGTGTTGGCTTGAATTTTGGGATGATTTTAACTCTTGTAGATACAAAGATAACTAAAAGATTAACACAAGCTGCCATACCAAATCCAAGACCATCCATATTTGCATTCAAAAACAACTTACCTGTGATGTTACATCAGGTTATAAAAGACATTTGAGAAATCTTTTACAAAAGTTTATGCGAAATGAAATGAATCACAGAAATGCGACTAGTTTAAATACATACTCATTTTCCTTTTTTTGCAGAAAGTCATTGCTGACCTAAATTTGTACCTATATTATGGCAATCCAAACCATGTTGCCGCAGAGGGTTACTGTGACCGCACTCTTAATGATAATTGGTGTGATACATATTTTACAATTTGCTTAACGTCAGCAAATTCGTAAGTTTACTCCGATCCAAATATACCATTCAATTTAATTCGATAGCATTGAGTATCAGCAAAGGAAATTTTATTTGAATAAATTCATCATAAATTATTCTTCCCTCTAGAACTGAAAAATGTAATGTCTACACCAATACCACAGAAGTTCATTACGACAAAACGTATGTAAAGTATGACAAAGAGCAAGCATTTCGAATTCCTCTAAAACACCCAATACCCGTAAGTGAAGCCTTTAGTTCTTGCTAGTAAATCTAATTTTATCAGTTTGTTTATTTTATTTCTTACTATTAGGAACCAATAAACATCGAAGTGACTGTCATGGATTACGATCGATTTACAGAACCTGACTTGATTGGAGTATTTGCAAATGATGTTATGATTCCAACGCCGAATGTCATCACAAGTGCCGGTCTTGTAAATGTGAAGAAAAATTATCAACAAAAAGTAAAGTAAGTAGGAATCGTTGGAATTATTATAAACAGATTATGAGCAAATGGGATGTAGGCATCCAATATAATGTATTAAGTCCATTCCAACAAAAGATAAGAAAAAAATATTCAATTAGGAAAAGCGTGTATTGCATTTAGGTTGATAAGAGTTCAGGAAGAAAGGGCCGACAAGCGATAGCGTTAAATGCTATTTTTAAGAATTTGGTTGCCGGCCATAAACAATTTTGGGGTTTGTGATATCTGTAGGCTAATTTTCTACTCAATGTATATTACTGAAAGTTTATAACAGCGATTTTGAAAACGGTATGCCTATTTATTGAATATTCAGAGGATATGGGCTGCCGAATAGAATGAATACCTTTTAATTTCTGGTACCTTGAAGAGTGAGAGAGGTCTATGAGTTAACTTTTTTGCATTTTGTCAGTTTTTTTCTCAGCTATTGATTTGGGTCTTGGGGTTATATTCAAATAAAGATCTATCCTTCAGTTCGTAGTCTAAACTGTGTGAAAATGTATGCTGAGTAGCTCAGGGTATAAGAAGAGTGATTGAGTAGGCAATTTCTTACATTCACACTTGTTATAACTAGGCAGGATGATTGGTAGGTTAATGCGATTCCTGAGTTGTCGAACGGAATTCAATACAGCTACTATTTCCTACATGCATTTGTATTTTCGTATTCCTGTATCTTTTAATTCAGTTACCTTTTTGCCTGATTGTTGAGGAAAATCTTCTCCTGGAATTGGCCATGTACAAAGTGCTAGTCATCCTGCAACTCATCTAAACAGCATTAATACTTGAAGTTAGGCTGAGGAAAATTATTTAACAGGATAATTTAGTCAAACTTTATAGCCCTTTTACTCATAAAATTTCAGGAAAATTTAATTACGGATTGTGGAATCTATTTCATGAGTTAGTAATGGCAAGAAACACTGAAATGTACTTGGCTGATTGCAGAAATTGATGCGGGTTAGCACCTGAATATGTTTTTCTACGTTATACATTAAATTTGGTTCCTACTTTTATTTATTAAATTGGATCATTCAGCGCCAATTTCCCTCTAAAAGTAACGTTAAATTGATCACTAGGCTACTTTCATAAAAGCTCCATTTTTCTGGCCTTACCTCATGTAAGTGAGTGCAAGAAATGGACACAAGATGATACCGGGGATTATTGGTTAGAACCACTCTTGTTCCTATTTGCACAATAAGGTGGGTTTTTTCCCTACCCTAAGTTAAAAATGGAATGGAAATTTAATTAACCTGAATTCAGATAATAACCCTATGTAAATAAGCTTATGCTTGACATTTTAATAATTTTGTTCTTGCATTGCTTTCAGTACAAAAAGCTATAACATTTTAATGAATTTGATATGTTATTCATCGAAATTATGCCTCACAATAAAAAAGAAAGTAATACAAATTCTAAAATGCTTATCGGCAGATTATAAATTTCCTTAAACTTTGCAGTTTGACGGTGTTTATGAGCACCCACTGTGCCCAAGGTTTCTATGGAAATACGTGTTCAATTGAATGCGTTCCAGAGAAATACCAAAGTATGATCGGATGTCACGACAATGGAACTAGCATCTGTCTGCCCGGTAGGTTGTTATTTTATCGACTTTATTGAACCTAACGTGATTACATTAGGATTACCTAATTGACAACAAACATACACTCAAATTAGCCAACTTCACCTACGATTTTGTAAACAGAGAGTTGAGGCTCAGTTCTGGCCTTAAAATGTTGTTTATATCACACTGCAGGTTTTCGTGGACAGTTTTGCGAAAAACCAGACGCATGTTTCTACAGGCCATGTATTCCGGGCGCTGAATGCATTAACGCGGACGATAGGAGGATTGGATATAAGTGCATTTGTGATGGAATCGAGGGTAGGTAAAAAGATATTTCTTTGTACATTTTGTTAGTTTTACGAAGCCGTATATGCATACATTTTGGTATTTATATTTTTCTTTCCCACTTTAACTGAAGGGCTTGAATTTCTTTCACCTTTAAAATTTTATCCTTGAAATGGCAAGCTTCTATTACATGTCTCTAATTCCACCAGAAGTGAATTATATTAGTATACGCTGAATTGTGAAAGACGCTTCTTGTTAATGAGGAAGTATAGGCAAACACAGTAAAATCAATGTTCCTGGGGATTATATTGGAGTGAATCTATAAGTAGAGATTGCCCAGAACACTTTGGTTCCATCTGTGTTACTTTTTATTTAAAGCAGTTTCCTTAAACACCTTCTGGAGCTTTTTTCAAAGTAATTAATGGTGAAAGTTAGTAAGTTTATTCTACTTAGCGGAAAAACAGCTTTGTGAAATTTTTGTCCATTTGTCATGTATGAACTTTGAAACGTTGATTGAAACGCAACAAACGACGGAGAAATGCAATACACTTTTAATTGTTTATGCGGTGCTTTGATGCAGATTTCAACCAATCCACACCATCCTGGTTTCCACATACACTCCTGAACAGTGTTCTTTCTCTTACTCCTCCACATTATTATCGAAGATTAATTTCGCCTTACAATATATATATATATATATATATATATATATACTGGTCCCTGTGCACGTTTCAAAGTTTATAAGACTTTCTTAATAATGTCTTCACTCATAGAGTTGATACTTATCTCTCTACCTCACTGTTGACAGTTTCCACTAAGCCGAGGTCAGGTCATAAATATTTAAACCACTTCGTCATTCTCTAAAGTAAAACGTCACCAGAGGGTTCATGATAACATGGCATTCTCACCTAGGAAACAACAAACGGTTGATAAATACGCAATAATTAAAAAAAGCGCAATGGACGAAAAAATGAATTTTGTGAAAAGTGGTCAACCTCAAAATACTCGCCATGACCGTCTATTCAGTCCTCATTCAAGTTATTGAACCTGGAGCAAACTCATTTGACACCTCCTCTGGGAGAGTCATAATAATTGCCTTAATTTTACCTATTATCTGGCTACCTGACTTTTATAGTACCACCTCGGCGATAAGTACACTCGACACTATTCTATATATTCCAGTCCTTCGGCTTAACACCAGAGGAGAGAGTTCGAAGGTCAAAAATGCATTTTGTCATTGAGTGACAACCATTTTTCCCGTTGCCGCCATATGTATGGAATAGTATTCGTCACCCTTCCAAGT